TCGTCATTTTAACCCTGAACCATAATTCTCGTTACAAGCAAATCGCGCACTTTCTACCCATAAACCGATACACGGTACAGTGTTAAAAACCTACGCTATAAAATATCGGACTTAGAAATTTTGCGTCATTTGCAAATTTACCGTGTACCATTGCATTTTAAACATGGACTGACAGTATAATGTCGAAATGCGCCACGTACACTTCCCCAAGTTCTGTACATGAGCGGTACGACCTGTGGTGATCAAAATTTCACGAGAAAAAAATATTCGGAATTCAAGCCAAATTATTCCAGTGCCAAACGGGGCAGGTTGAGAACACATGTTTGGCGTTGTTAGAATCTCAATTTAGGCGTTTTTACGAATTTTCGTCCTTTTAACCCTCAACCATAATTCTCGTTACAAGCAAATCGCGTACTTTCTACCCATAAACCGATATATGGTACAGCGTTAAAAACCTAACCCTGTAAAATATCGGACTTAGAAATTATGCGTCATTTGCAAATTTAGCCGTGTACCATTTCATTTTAAACAGGGACTGACAGTGGAATGAAGAAATGCGCGACATACATTTCCCCGGGTTCTGTATACGTGCGATAGGACCTGTAGTGGTCGAAATTTCGCGAGAAAAAAAATCGGCATTTAAGCCAAATTTTTCCAGTGCCAAACGGGGTAGGTTGAGTACACATGTGTGGGGTTGTGAGAATTTCTTTTTTGGCGTTTTTACGAATTTTCGACATTTTAACCCTGAAACATAATTCTCGTTACAAGCAAATCGCGCACTTTCTACCCATAAACCGATATATGGTACAGCGTTAAAAACCTAACCCTGTAAAATATCGGACTTTGAAATTTTGCATCATTTGCAAATTTACCGTGTACCATTGCATTTTAAACATGGACTTACAGTAAAATGACGAAATGCGCCACAGACACTTCCCCAAGTTCTGTACATGAGCGGTACGACCCGTGGTGATCAAAATTTCGCGGGAAAGATAAATTCCGCATTCAAGCCAAATTATTCCAGTGCCAAATGGGGTAGGTTGAGAACACATGTGTGGCGTTGTTAGAATTTCGATTTTAACGCTTTTCCGAATTTTCGTCATTTTAACCCTGAACCATAATTCTCGTTACAAGGAAATCGCGCTCTTTCTACCCATAAACCGATATATATTACAGCGTTAAAAACCTAAAACTGTAAAATATCGGACTTAGAAAATTTGCGTCATTTGCAACTTTACCGTGTACCGTTTCATTTTAAACATGGACTGACAGTGGAATGAAGAAATGCGCCACATGCACTTCCCCGGGGTTTGTACATGAGCGGTAGGACCTGTGGTGGTCGAAACTTCGCGAGAAAAAAAATTCGGCATTCAAGCCAAATTATTCCAGTGCGAAACGGGGTAGGTTGAGAACACATGTTTGGCGTTGTTAGAATTTCAATTTTGCCGTTTTTACGAATTTTCGTCATTTTAACCCTGAACCATAATTCTCGTTACAAGCAAATCGCGTACTTTCTGCCCATAAACCGACACATGGTACAGGGTTAAAAACCTAACGCTATAAAATATCGGACTTAGAAACTTAGCGTCATTTGCAAATTTAGCCGCGTACCATTTCATTTTGAACGTGGACTGACAGTGGAATGAAGAAATGCGCCACATACACTTCCCCAAGTTCTGTACATGAGCGGTAGTACCTGTGGTAGTCGAAATTTCACGAGA